GACATACATCGAAGCCTATGATTGGATTGTTGTTGGTAATCACTTTCTAAAATGATTAACTTGATTCGTTAAAGTGTATAAATAAAACGTCATATCTCAACGACGTTATTCAAGATGCTCAAATGACACGTGGAACCTACGAAAGATGACACCTATAGAGCCTACAACAAGAACACCACACAAGATGAAACCCCAAAGATTAATCTGGTTAATCAGATATACGATTAATCATATAACTTTATCATTCAAAATTCAAATGGTGCTATTATTCAATTTGAAATTCAAATTGAGGATGAGACATTCTTATCATCTAAATAGCCCTCTATAAATATGAGGACTATCACACAAGATCGAGGATCAGAAAATCAGAGGTGAGAAGATCAGAGAGAGAGTGAAAGAAATCAAGAGCTAAAGAAATCGTTACAAGAAAGACGAAAAGAAGCTTCGAGAACTCAAAAACCTACGCTACAAACGCAGAATGGTGATGAATATATAAAGGGTTCCAAATCCAAGAATTGTACTTTGTATTCAAGGATTCAAAACTCATAATAGTTTCAATAAAATATTTATTTTTCTTAAATTGTCTTCTGTTATTTATTTTGTTCTTCATTAATCGGAGGCTTCATTTATATAAAATGTGTAATTAATGATTTGGAATACAGATCGAAAATAAGAATCTGCTATTCAAATAATCAACACTTCAAATAATCAATACTGTTTAGTCTAAAAACTAAACAGTGTATATTTATAACATAAAATTTTGAAATGTGTTAAAACACTTCATGTTTCAAAATTTGTGTCTACAATGGGACATTGACACTTAAGCAAAAATACAGAAGATTAACTATCACAATTTCATGTGTACAAAACAAAGTCGGATTTAGTGTACTTTACCAAAGTGCAGTGTAATTTACCCAACAGTAACACAAATGCTCCTCTCAGGAACAGTAGGCTCAAGCAATTATGGAACCTTTTTTTATGATATTGAGAGAAGTTGACTTGCATTGCAGATTCAATTCCCATATAAAATAATGATACCTAATATAAGGCAATGAATAAACAGCTTTCAAATTCAATAACAAACCCCAGTGCACACAAATCAAACAGAAAAGCAGAATAGAATATGATGTATGCACAGGAAAACTCACCCTATAATCTATTTTATGTACTCTCTTCTTATTTTCAGGCATACATAACTACATGTAACCATAAATATGTAACCAGCAAATATGCCTTCCTGCAAAATGATAAAGCCATTTTAATACATCATCCTTCTCATACATGTCATAGAGAATATGATGGCACCATAATGAAACTCGTTTAATGGGCACTTAAGTCATTATTCAGTGTATCAGTGGCCCCTTATACTTTCCCATTTATCTTTTCTTTTTTTGGCTAACAAGAGTAGAATATGATGTACATGCACAACAAAAAACAATAAAGGATGAGAAACCACTTGTTTTAGCAAAATATCCTATACTTTAGGAAAGAAAATAGCAGCCACAATTGCTTCATAAGAGTGAAATGCTTCATCAGAATCGAGCATATGAAACTACAATGAGGTAACATCTCAATCTAGAATATGGACTATATGGAAACACAAATCAACTACAAAAATTAATGTTTGTATCCATTTATTCATTTTCCAAACCATCTTACGGTCGCTCATAGATGATCCGCCACTCCAGCTATAAACATATATTCTATAATATCAAGATCCACATTTGTCCACTGCCAGAGAAAACTGATTTTCTACTTCACCCTCTTTTAACAGAATCTCAAAATAAAGCGTCATAGGAAATTGAGGCAAAGTCGCCTCTGTTAAGAAAAGGATCGGTGATGAGATACAAACAGGCAACTAGTGGAATGCCAGGTTTACCTCCTTCCACCTTCTGATAGAATCAATATTACCTATACAAATACCCTTTCTTCCCTTTAAAACCATAAAACTCTTCTTCCCCCTCCAATCTTACCTCAATCCAAATAAACTAAAGAGTATACAGCACAAATACTGGATTCTAAAGTTATTACATTTCAACTCCTGCCACTTCCAAAGAGAGGGATCTAGATTTGAAGTCCTACTTGAGAATTGGACCCAACAAACTAGAGATCTTGCATCTATAAAATCCCACACCATCTTCTTTTTGTAGGATAAATTCAGTGAGAAGACTGCTCAGACTACTAGTTGAAGCATTTTCAGAAGCAGATAGAAACATTCATTCAGCTTAAAATTATAGCTGGATGATTTTTCTTGATGTTTCTTCCTAGCTAACCTAGAGTATTCTAATACCTTCCATTATAAATCCCCTACATGGAGCACGGTGATATTGAGTAACAAGTCTAATAACTAAACAGCATAGTTATCATTCACACACCACAAAACAAAGTGCAACAGGATGCACAATATAAGAGACAATGAATAAGCAGCATCTCCAGATGACATGCATTAGGCATTTGACATATAGATCAACTTGCTTCTGAATGACCCAGACCAACGAAAAAAATAAAATAAAAATTAACCACAATTTCTTCAATAGTGTGAGAAATCAACTTATCAAAAAAAAAAAAAATAAAATAAAATTTTGAGAAACCAAACAAAATTTGGCTAAGCCACCAAATGGATTACAGATGACCTGATCCCTCAATTCCAATAACAAACCCCAGACCACACAAGGAAACAAAAACTAGCTAACCACAATAATATTTTCTGAAACTCAACCTATAATCTATTTTCAGTACTGTCTGTTCTTCTAGTTCACCTGATACTTATTTTGGCCATACATAACTACATGTAACCAGCAAATATGCTTTCCTGAAAAATGATTAACCCACTTTAATAACTTAATGAGCAATTAACAGTTACTCGGTGTATCAGTTTGCCCTTTCTTAAAATTTTTTCCTTTTTGGGCTAACAAGAGTAGAAAATGATATATATACACACATATATGCAACCACTTGTTTTAGCATAATATCTTATACCAATTGAAGTACTTCCAGGGTATGAACTTTTAAGAAAGAAAACATTAGCCAAAATTGCTTCATCGGAGTAAAAATAATGTTTCATGAAGCTAGACACAATCGAAGACACAAACCTAAAACAAGGCAACATCTCCATCTACAATATGGAACATATGGAAACACAAATCATAGACATTTGTATCCATTTAGTCCTTTTCCAAACCTTCTTCTGATTGCTCATAGCTGATCATCCCCAACTCCAGCTATACACTGAACAATCAACGCAAATAAGATATAAAGATAGACTTATATTCTATACATCAAGATCCACATTTGTCCACTGCCAGAGAAACTATAAAATTGATTCACAACTTCAAGTTCATCCTCTATTACGGACAACCCCCGATATAAAGCGTCATAGGAAACTGAGGAAAAGGTATATTTGTTGAAAAAAGGATCGGTCAGATAAAAACAGGCGACTAGTAGAATGTAAAGCTCCCCTCTTTCCACCTTGTAATAGAGACAATGTTATCACATAAATATCTTTTCTTTCCTTAAGAAGTATAAGCCAAAAAAACCTATAAGCCTTTTCTTCCCCTTCCACTGTTATCTCAACCTAAACAAACTAAGAGTTAACAGCATAAATAATGGATTCTAAAGTTATTACATTTCAACTCTTCCGACTTCCAAAGAGAGGTTTAGATCTGAAGTCCAAGATTCCTGGTTGAGAATTGGATCCTACAACCTAGAGTTCTTGCATCTCTAATATCCAACACCATCTTTTGTTGTAGAACAAATCCAATGAGAAAACTACTCAAACTACTAAGTTGAAGTATTTTTAGAAGCAAATAGAGATATTCTGTGTTACTTGGACTCTTCTATTTCCCCCAAAGTACCCGTGTCCACCAGATAATGACATGGGTAAGGGTGTAGGATATGTGTCCGATGCTCGTACCCAATTTAGACACTTGGATCTTTTAATTTGTTACAAGATAGGAAGAAGAAGAAATTCACATTTGCTAGTAAAACAATATTTTTAGTATCTCACATAAATTAGATATAGAAATTTCATATTTTTCCTGAATCCTATTTAATTTCTAGTATATTTCTACATGATTTACAATATGCAATTTATGTGTGCATGACATGTCCCCGTACCCATATCCAATTTTGGATATGTATCCCAAGATCTTAAAATTTAAATTTTATGAAAGTCTGACTCTTGGATACACACTTACACCCGATACTCATACCCGAGTCCATGTAACATAGGAGATATTCAACTTAAAATAATAGCTGGAAGCATTTTCTTGGTGTTTTCTCCTAGCTAACCTAGAGCATTCTAATACATTTCATTATAAATCCCCATACTTGGTGCACAGTTGCTTTGAGTAATGAAAACCCATGACAGATCTTTGTGGCTTGAAAAGCTTAATTATCATTCATATGCCACAAAACAATGTGCAACAGCATACACAAAACAATAACAGACCGATATGTCCAGACTCACCAGATTACATGCAAAAGGCATTTGCCATACAGAACGACTTGTTTCTGAATAGCCCAGGACAAGTAAAACAATATCAACCACAATTTCTTCGATAGTGTGAAAAATCAACTTATCAATATGTGTGTGTGTGTGTGAGAGAGAGAGAGAGAGAGAGAGAGGGAGAGAAATCAAACAAAATTTAGTTTAGCTACCCAAACCTGATGAAGAACAAGGAACAAACATCTCTTTCTAAAAATTGGATTACAAATGACCCAATTAATATAATCATATAGCAACTCGGCACATAGCAATATGAATATGTCAAAGCATTAAAAGGAGAGTGTGTTTGAGTTTGTGTGTGCATTGACACAATGTTGAGGTATAAAGAACATACATAGTTGTGATTTACCCTCAGACATCTAAAATAGTGCTTAAAGTAACTAAAGATATCTCACTTTTGCTTGTCACATCCTTTTTTGCTTTCACTTGCGTCTTCATAACTGTTTCTCTTTCAACTGTATGTCTTGCTCTCTAGGAAATTGGAAGCAGAGCATTACAAATGGTTCAACTGCCCCTCTAAAACATTAGTATGTTCTTTCACTAAAATTAGGGTTTCCAGGAAAGTATCAACATTAAATGAGTGTGAACTCCCCTTTATTCCAGTATTCGAAATTGTTTTGGTTCCAGGGTCATAAGAAATTAGCCAGTTGTTAGTTGTTGATAGCAGAACCCCACCATTCTGCCTAAATCCCAATGTCTTGTTCAACAAACCTGGTAGATTAATACTGAATAGTTTAGTCCAAGATTCTGCAACTCCGTATTCTTTCATCACCCATATGCAGCAAGAAGATCTGCCTGTTTCTGCACCACAAAACACAGCCAATGACTCTCCAAATAATTTTATGGACAGACGAATTGGACACCGACCAGCTAAAGCAGGAGGTAGCATCATCTCAGAGAATGCTTCAGAAACCATATCAAACGACACTATCAAATTGCAAAAACCACCCACCGCACTTGGATCATATGCAACCCAATGTACAGCTCCATTCACAAAAGCTTGTGACCACATAAATTCAACTATGCAATACGGAGGAGCAGCAGCAGAATCAATCTCTCTCCACGACCCTATCCCTTGTGTGTAAAGCTCAACCTTCGGAGGAACTTTGAACCCATTTATATGCTCCTCATACACAATCCTCACCACCTTGTATTCATGAGTCATGGGGTGAGCCCCAAATCCAAGAACAAACATATAGGGGCCTTGTGGCTTACAAGGCATAGGGAGAGTCACTGATTTCCTAATTGATGGGTTCCATAAAACAATATGATGGGTATCACCGAAATAATCGTCGCAAAGACATAGCAAACCATTGCAGCTACCAACAATTCTGAAATAACCAATTAAGCTTTTGAATGGGAACTTGAATTCCGAATAATCGTCACCGAATTTTTCGTCGTCGGAGCACAAGAGATAGTGTTCTTTCTCATCATTATCAGTGTAAAGCCTAAGGAGAAGCTTGTCACTGTTTCTTTTTCTGTCCGTAATGGTTTGATTGAGGTGTTTGGTGATGAAACCAGGGTTTGTGATGAGAGAGTGCCATGATTTGCAGATAGATGTGAATCGAAGTAGAGATTGTACGGGGAGTCTTACAAGAATTTCAATTATGAGTTCATTGGGTATGTAGTCTGACATTGATCTAATTAGAAGAGAATACTGATTTTATAGGAATTGGGGTATAAAATACAGAGATTCTATAAAAAAGAGAGCTAGAATTTGAGAAAAAAGAGCAAAGTTAGATTGTGAAGTTACACTTGTGATGATCCATATATACATACAAGCCCCTGTTTTGACAGCTCAATTCTTCAAATAGTTTCGGCCGTATGCTTCAACTTCAACATTCTATTTCAAAAGTTCCAGGTTATACGCGCTCGGAGAGGACAGTGGAGAGGGTTATTTTGAAACTGCAGGAGAGTAGGAGGATTTTTTTTTGTAACCAAAAATAAAAAATCTGACACCCTAATTTCTCTTTTCGTTCTTCAAATACAGAATTTTTTTCCCCGAAAAAAATAAAAATAAATAAAAATTCCTTACTGTTGAGCCTCTTAATTTTTAGAAAAAAATTGTTAATTTTTTAATTTTATCAATTTAAATCTTAAAATTCTTATTTATTTTCGTTAAGTAAAATTGATAAAAAATATATATTTTATTCATTAAACTATAAAATATAATATTTTATGTATATTTATATTAAGTTTAATAGCTTAAATACTTTTTTTCCATTAGTATTACTGAACAAAAATAGTTGAATAGTTTATATTGAAAATAAATCAAAACATTAAGATTTAAAATTAAAAATTCAGGATTGATTTTATTAAAAGGGTCAAATCCTTTTTTTTTAATTTTTTTTTAAAGAAATTTATATAAAAAACATGATAAATGTGAAAGGAAAAAAATATGAGCTCAGGCCAAAATCTATTGACATTAGCCCAAAAAAAAAAAAAAAAAAAAAAAAGAGAAGAGCCCAAAGTAATTCATGAAGAACAATTGGCAGTAGGTTGATCCAAGTTCAGGCGCGTGAGAGACAATTAAACATAAAGATATCCTTTTAGCATGAAGATATGTAGAGAAAGGAGGATTGTTGGATTGAGCTTCAATCCAATGAATGAGAATACATGTCAAGAAATTCAGAAATGTAGATTGGGACTAGCAGAGCAACACCATCCGATCAAAACCATCTCATGATTGTGATGCCTAGCTAATTGGGCACTAGTATCTGATCTGATCTTAGCTATCCAAGCAAGAAAGCAACTTGGCAATTGGACTGGTCATTGCCAAACAAAGGCAAAACCCTCTGATCAAAAGATAAACGGACGAATAAGATTTAAGCTAAGTAACTATAAAAGGGCCAACAGGTAAAGCACTAAGAGCAAGCAAGAGGTAACTCAAAAACTCTCATTTAAATACAAATTGTATATTTCAGTATGGTTGATCAGTAAATTGACTTGATCATCGAAGGGTTCTCCCGACCAAATCTAGTCGGGGGTGATCACTGACATTTGGTTTCTCTTGACAGAAATAAAAGGACAGGACATGTCATCTCGTTTTTGCTGTGGAGATAATTTCACCTTCCACAATAAGCTATGGTAATTAAGGAGGATAAACGAGTCAGAATGAGCCAAAAGATAATTTGTCAAAGCTTGGTGTGAAAATTTTAATGAGTTTTAAAATCTGCTCAAGTTTGATTTATTAAATGTTTTAGCCAATCTCAAATGAGGTTTTTTTTTTTTTTTAGGTCGAACGATTTATATTTCTATATAGTTTTAGGCTTATCAAATCGAGCTAAATAAGCAATTTACTGTTCAAATTTGGTTAAAATTTTTTAACAAGTTGTAAACTGTATTCAAGATTAATTTATTTACTTAATGAATGGGGATAAGCTCTCCTCCATACATTCATCTCTGTATACCTTTCCATACCCTTTTTGTAGGCCCTAATTTGGACCCGCACCCATAATATAAATCATCTATCTCGTAAGTTTCGCAATAAAGGTCATCTATGCAAAAAAATAAGTTTAATTAGAAAATTATAAACTTAAGAAAAAAATTGAATTTTATTTTATAAAATAAAAGACAAATGTGATTGTAAACTTAAACTATCCATTTTATAAAATAAAGTATTTTTTGTCCCTGTATTTATAATTTTTCGGTGAAGTTCATTTTTTGCATGGATAGCCTTTATTACGAAATTTATGAGATAGACGATTCGAATCATCAGTGTGGGTCTGAATTGGGGTCTACAAAAAAAGTACGGAGAGAGGTAAAGGTATGGATGGGAGCCTATTCCTAATGAACGAGCTTTTAATGAGTTGAATACAAATCGAATTCGAACTATTTGATTAATTTATATCACTCTAATGGTAATATTATTATTATAAATAAAAATTATTTTTACGAAGTTGTGTTTTAAAATAAAAAATATATAAATTTTTTATTTATACATTATTAGTTAGCCAAAAATTGGGGGGAAGTGGAATTACAATTCAGTTGCATGTCGCAAAAATATTTACAAATTCATAAAGTTTAAAGTTTAAAATTTTAATCATTAATATTTATAAAGTTTGCCATCAATGTGTATTTTTTTTACTCTAAATTTATACTGAATTGTAATTTTTCATTTTTCATTTTTTCTTTTAGGTTGAATGTACAGGTTTTTTTTGGTGTTACTTCTAAATTTATTTATTTAGCCTATTACTTTAAAAAAAAGTTAATTAATAGTATTTAATTATAATTTAATTTATTTTTTTAGCTTATTTAACCCCTGAAAAAAATTCTTAAGCTACTATTTGTAGCTTACTTTTAACTTGTAACCGTTCACACTATTACTTACCTCACACCACACATAATTTTGATTTTTTGTGCCTTTCTCTCAATTCACACCACTAAATTTTCATAATACCCTCATCATCAACATTACTTCCCTTGACCTTAACCCAAAAGCACCATTTAGTGTCGCCTTCTTTCAAAAGGCCTCATCTTCAACGTTCCTTCCCTTGACCTTAACCCCAAAGCATAATTTACTAATAAGAATTCAGTATTTAGACAAATGCCTTGATTGCAAATTTGTGCATAAGATATTTTGTAATTAATTTCCATAAATCCACCATTAGCAGTATTCAAGGATTGATCCATTTTTTCAAAATATTTAAAAGGTACACGACATTCTTTAATACAATTGAGGTCAGCACCGGAATCAACAAGTGTCATAGTTGTTAAAATAAAATCATGTATTATGACTTTAATTTCAATATACCAATTTTGAAATGTAATACTATTATGGAATAAATTAGCAGAGTCATTAACAACAAGTGGTTGTTTGTTAGGGTGTTTGTTAGATAATTTATGGAGATATGGTTCATAGGGAAAGGAGGGGTCAGCAAGGAAATCATCAGCATTGGCAGAATTTTCTTCAAGAGCAAAGACTTGGGATTGTAAATTTTGGACATCAGCTTTAAGGTTGCAGATTTCATTTCGTCGATCTTGATTAGTAGGCGTATTGAGTGGAGTGGGTACTTTGTTAACGCAATCAAGAACATCTTTGAAATTAGAAGTGTCATATTTTAATTCTTGCATAGTATGTATGGTTGGGGCATTCTTTTGTTTGGAATTTGAATATTTGAACATAGCTTATTGTTTTTTTTTTAAAAATCATCAATATTATCGATAATTTAAGAATCATTTTCTCTTATGTTGTTAAAACATTAATACTGAGGCCATTCATTTCTAAAATAGCCTTATAATAATCATTTGTTGATTGACTTGGACATTCATGAGAATCTTTGGGATGATCTTCTAGTTCATCATCAAAAGAAGTATTAAGATAAAATGGCCTCTGTTAATCCTGCTCCTTCCATATTTTCCTCTAGCCCCAAATCATCAAAGTCTTTTGACTATGATGCTTTCAAAACAGAACTTAAACAAAAATTAAAAGATAAGTATCCTTCAATGTCCAAACCAAAATTTGAAAACAAATATAAAAAAGCTATTAAAATGAAAATGATTTAAATGGCTGAAGCAGAATGCCTTTCAGACTCCGATCAAGACATTGTATTGGAAACTATTCCCTCAATTCTTATCAAACCAAGGCAACCGGCAATATCTCCACTAATCTCTCCAGCATCGTCTCCACAGATCCCCACTCAACACCTTGATGACGAATTTTCAGACATATGTCAAGGTGTAAACCACAATAATCTATGAGCCATGTGATCTCTACCTCCCGCAATATCCAAAGCAACTATTCAAAGGACAATAATATCAACAAATAAGATTCCTCTCTCAATAATTCTCCATCAAATGCAAACTCATGACTCAAGCAATCAAATGCCAGCTCATAAAGTGAATTCTTTTTATCAACAAAGTCACATGCCAAGCAATAATGGATTCTCCACTGACAAAAGCAAGCAATAATGTTCTCTCCACCGAGAATTGCAAAAGAAGATTCCCTCTTATCTCTTCGGACTTCAAACAATTTCAATCCCATCTCGTCTCCTCTATAAAAGCCAGCCATTCCATCGATAGAGGGTACACTTTCAGAATATGAAAAAATTTCATATTGTAAATTGTGAGAGTATTGTAAGAGTGTAATTATAGTGTGCTTGTGGTGAGTGTGCTTGTGATTGTATATCTTGGATGCTTTGTCCAAACTGCTTGCAAGAGTGTGACCCTTTGTAAGTTTTCTTCTATCTTGTATTAATTTTAATTTTAATATAATATAAGTGTGAGGTTTATTTATTATGCTTTTGATTTTTGATTTACGTCTTGAGATTAATGACAGATATCAATATATTGTTGATTTACAAGAAGAATTGTCTAATCTAAGATTATTATTATCTCTTGCATTAGGACAATCCATTATTAATTATAGTCAAAGCATTTATACTTTAAAAAGAAAGATTAGAGAAAAACAAGCTTATGTACAACGACTCCAAAAACAATTACAATCTTTAATCTATCTCTAATCTCTATATCACTAAGATATAATACTTGGGCTTCCTTTTGGTAGCAGAGCCAAGTCAAGCTTAGAATTGATTTAGTCTCTTTCCATATAACTAGTGTGGCACCCAAGTCGCTGAAGTCTGTAAGTCGTTAGGTCGTTAGGCAAGAGGCCATCATTGACCATTTGAGCTTAGGCAG